CAGCCCCTTCTGCAGTCTCTGGACACTGCGCCGGCCACTGCGGAGAGAGCCGGGCCCCCAGCGGCGACCACGCGCGCCACAGCCCCTTCTGCAGTCTCTGGACACTGCGCCGGCCACTGCGGAGAGAGCCGGGCCCCCAGCGGCGACCACGCGCGCCGCAGCCCCTTCTGCAGTCTCTGGACACTGCGGAGAGAGCCGGGCCCCCAGCGGCGACAACGCGCGCCACAGCCCCTTCTGGAGGCAGCCCCTTCTGGAGGCTCTGGATACTGCGCCGGCCACTGCGGATGTGAGGTGTGACAAGAAGGGCGAATAGATGAAGTTGTGAGTGGATATGTGAGATGAGAAGAAGTGTGTGCGTGTGTCAGATGATGAGATGACAAGCTGAGTGTGATGAGATAATTGTGTTGTGTGTGTGAATGTGAGAATGTGAGATGAGAAGAGATGACAAGCTGACGAATAGATGAAGTTGTGAGTGGATATGTGAGATGAGAACAGGTGTGTATGTGTGTGTCAGATGATGAGATGACAAGCTGACGAATAGATGAAGTTGGGAGTGGATATGTGAGATGAGAACATACACAGAGGTCAGATGACAAGATGATTGTGTGTGTAAGAGAAGGACGGTGTCAGATGATGAGATGACAAGCTGAGTGTGTGTGTGTGTGTGTGTGTGTCCAACCCTGGACAAAGGGTCTTCCACCACCACTCTTTCCACTTTACATGGGCAGGGGGCCAGCGGCCGACAAGCAAACGCTGGCTAACAAAGCTATGTTTGTCGGTGGATGCACAGTCTGATCAACTGTGTGTACCTGCGACCAACTTTTGCACAAGCTGTCCAATCTGATCGGTTTGCTTTCATGGTCCTTCATGCTACCACCCCAAAACAGGTTTCTTTCAGCAGCTGAGCCGCCGATCGTCCGCAGATGTGCAGCGTTTGTTCAGCAGAGCGAGGGAAACTATGTTAAACAATTCAAGTGATCTGACCCAATCACCATGCCGTTCCACCGCCATCCTTCCCATCGGGAAATTGAGCTAACTGAATACAAATTGTCGAAGTGTGTCCCGCTCAGCCGTCCCACTCGGGTGCTGAGTGTGATCCCCGTCACAGGGGCGCCGATCTTGCATGGGAAAGCAACCACCCCAACGCACCATCGTTCACTGGACTCTCACAGGAAGGCACCGACACCCTCACAGAATCAACTGCCACACCCGCCGCCGGGCCAAAAAACGGTTCTTGAAGAATACTTCGGATTCCAACTTTCAGATTTCAGATTTCAGCATTCAGATTTTTCATGTCTTCCAATCATGTGCGTGTTTCCATGTTTGCTATGTTGATGCCGCGATTCCTTCATCGACAGAACTCAAGGATGGGCATTACAGCTCTTCAGCTTAATTCGAGATGCATGAACACACACCTACCAACAAGCTCACATCTAGCACCACCTTACAACATACTCACCATCGACATCAGAGATGACACCTTCAACAACAACAAGACAATACAACTCGGCACTTCCCCGCTGCTTTTTGCTGCCGCGCCGCGCCGCGCCATAGCTACGACCACGACATGCATTTTCCGTGGCCCTACGCTCACACCACGCCACCACCATTACCTACCACACAACCTCAACCCACATGGCCGA